AACCGCCTTAAAATGCCATATGTCGCAGTAAAATATGTCGATTTAAGGTTCCGGGGTAGGCCTATTTCCTGCATTTGCTCTATAGATGTTATATAGGTAGTGTACAATTTTTACTGCTGCTTTATGTTAAATATTAAAGACGACTCACCCAAATCAATTGGATTTGATTGGAGCATTGCCTTGCATGATTGGTTGCTGCATATGTTCACGAACATCAAAATTGGCTTGAACGTGTTGAGCTCAGTTATCAGGTATGCGTTGTCGCTGGACTGTTTCAATTAAATAAAAAGTTAACCTTGTGCAAACTCTTCGCATAATAAAATCGTACTATAGTTTCCTTTCTGTTTCTCATATCCTTTTCTGTACAAACCTTAAATGCCAATTATAGGAAATAAAAAAGGAATATTACTCTTTGCTTTGTTGGTTGCTGTTTGATGCTTTGTTTTAAGTTCAACCTTGCTTAGAAAAGCGATCAGCCAATAATCGCGAAGTTACAATGTTCCCTGATGAAAGTGACCCCGGTGATAAAAAAAAATGATGAGCAGGGTATGCTATTTAGAAAGAAGTATTTATCTTTCTCTCGCTGTATTCATCGTCACTTCTTTATGTATTTGATGTAATATAGAACGGTGATTGCATAACAAGATTTATATAAATCATACATAAGTCAGCATAAATCATGACATTACAGTATATTGTGTAATCCTTTGAAATAAACCTCCTTTATTCTGTAAATTAGGAATGAATCAAATCATAGAAGGAGTCAACGAGTTCCCGGGAGAAATACTACGTTCTTATGACCCAGCCAGCTGAGATTATAACGTGCGCGAGTTTGTTCAACTCTGTTTTTAACTAACCTATGTACCGGTTTACTGTTAGTCGTTCGATAAGCTGGCTACATGCCCTCCACCTTCTTACATATCATATAGTCTAGCAGCAAAGCAGTTGGGGCATCGTCATACGATGAGTTAGGAAAGGCCATTTCTTAAAAATAATAATTATAAACTTTATTTGTTTATAGATTCATGCAGTTGAAAATCTCACTACGTATAGGCAATTTACAACTGGCTACTTGAATTGATAAAATGTATATATGAATTTACAAATACTGAAATCAAACGAAAACACACAAACAGTTAAAAAAAAAATAGAGACCACCGAGACCACCGAGACCACCAAGACCACCAAGACCACCGAGACCACCAAGATCACCGAGACCACCAAGACCACCAAGACCACCAAGACCAC